ACCTGGTTCACTTTGCTCATTCTCAAAACTTGGTCACCATTGGGGAATCCCAAGCAAGCACACAGAGAGAGCCTGTGTAGTTGTTCCAGCCAGTACTCCAGTGAAGCTCCCAGTGGACAGCCAACATCAGTGACCAAATGGAATGGGAGGCTGTTCCCTGGCCCTGGTCCCCAGGAAACTCTCAACTTTCAGGTCATCTCATCTGATGCCCTAGATATTGTATAACAGAAAGGTAATCTCTTTACTGTACCTTGTCCATGTTCCTGATTCAAAAAGGCTGAAAGTATAATAGGATGGCAACTACTTCATACTGCTAGGTGTGGGGTGGCTTGTTATGCAGCAACAGGACTGGCAGCTCTGAATAAGAGAACACGTAGCTTACAGTGAGAGCTATGTGACCTTGATGCCAGAGAAGAGAATTTTACACGTGATGTCCTCTGCCTGATCCACCTGGTGCTCTGTTCCTTGCTGTTATTAGTGGCTAACATACATGGATGTTATAATCGGCAGCATTTTTCTCTTCCTTTCTGAGCTTGGCTGGGATGCAGAGGCATGCCTGCAATGGCTCAACCTCCATCCCACTGGTACTGCAGACCCCACAAAAGAGTCCATGACTCCCATTCAGTCTCAGCTCCAATGCTCAGCCCTGCTGCCCTTATTAATATTCCCTTTGCAGAACTGCAGCTACTTTCTGATCTTATCCATGCCACAGAATACCAAAAGTGGCTCAGGATGGATGAATCTTAGAGGCTTCTTCTGCTTGACCATTCAAGGCAAATGAACAGCACCATGGGGGGTGACCAGTTTCAACAGCTCTCAAGCAAGTTGGTGCCAGGAGATGCCTATGTCTTTCTGTTTTCATGCTCATTTATCTGGTATCTCTGTCCAGAAAAAAGGGAAACATCAGCCTGTCTGCTGCCTTGCTTTCCTTTTGTGTTTTCTCTTTGCATATTTCTCCAGATAGACTCTTTCCTGTCTCCCCAACTCTTCTCTAAACCATCAGATCAAAGGAGATTTTCTGTGCACACTGAGAGAGAATTCACAATCTGGTGTTTGACCACTGATATTCTAAACTCCTCAAGCCACTGAACATTTATCATAGGCTATTGTCTTGCTGAAAAGAAGCAATCCTGTTTTGCATGCTAGACACCAACATTGCTTTGTTCTTTGATACTGTTCTGAAACACATTTTAAACTCCTTTTGAGAAAATGGGTAGTTACAAACACTGAGAGGGGGATTAATCATTTTCAAATGATCTCCTCTCATTTATTGGTTTGCAGATTGCTTCCTTGCTCAGGACTCCCACTACCTCAGCTTTGCCTTTGGGTGCGGGGTGCAGTCATTGGAGGATACCTGATCTTTCCATGTCCCGTATTAAACTTTGAAAAACCTCTTTGCTGTGATTTCTAATGATAACTTCTATCCTCCACATTGCTAGTTAATGTATTTCCTAGTAATTGGTTCTAATTTCTGATTGCCCGCTGGTTCTCCTGTTCCATATTTAGACCCTCCTGACTGCTTTGTCGCAAATTCACTGTTCGCCCTCGGTCTTTCTAATCTGTGCCTGCTGCTGGGACTTTGACTCACTTCTGAGGGTCTCAGAATTCTCACATAGCTTGTTATTCTGGTATATGTCGGGATGCTTTTAACAAGATTCACAAACCCAAGCCCAAACCAAATCAGGCAATACAAGCATTCAGTTGGCTCACATTTTTTTAAATGTCAGACTTCAGGAGAGAATCAACAATCAATCAATACAACAATGCATTGTGTTTCTTAGTGACTCTTATCTGCTTTTTTAAAAAATAAAACTTACTGAAGTTTTTGTGGATTTCGTACATCTTAATCATATTTAGCCCCCGCCTCCCCATTGGCATTCCCCCATAGCCCATCCACAGGACTTCAGGCATCTTGTCATATATGTTAAGGTCTACTGAATCAAGTTTGGGTACCCAGATGTCCCTTGGTGTGAGCTCATCCACTAGAGCCTGTTCACAGCCTGTCTAGTGTCACTCGCTTAAAGAAGATCAACTGCCCCTCACCTAGCAGTGATCAGCTGCCAATAGTTCCTGCCTTCTGGCCATTTCCCCAGTTCTATGCTGGGTTTTGTCTGATTGAGTTTGCATGGGTCTTGTGCATGCGATCCCCACTGCTATAAGTTCATATGAGCAAGGACCCAGAAGCCTGTAAGACTCTGTTTCCACATGGTCATGCACTTCCTCCCTGGCTCTTAGGATCGTTTGGCCCCCTCTTCCTCAGTGGTCCCTGAACCCTGGGTGGGTGAAGTTTAATATAGGAGTCTTGTCCAGGGACTCACACTCTGCAGTCTTTCTCTGTACTTTGGCCAGTTGCAGCCTTTGTGTTCATCAAATCTGCTTTTTTAAGAGTGTTGATTTCAGCCAAGCCTGCAATCCCAGCTACTCTGAACGCAAGGACAGCAAGTTCAAAACCAGTCCATTCATCTTAGTGAGAACCTCTCAAAATAAACAGGCATACAAACAGTTTAAAAAGAGAAGGGGCTTAGCCAGGTCTAGTGGCACATGCCTTTAATCCCAGCAGTCAGGAGGTGGAGGCAGGCAGATCTCTGTGAGTTCCAGGCCAGTCAGGGTGACATAGTGAGACCCTGTCTCAACAAACAAACAAAAGGTAGGGGTGGGGAGGGGCTTGAGATATAGTTCAGTGATGAAGCACTTGCCTAGCATGTATAAAGGCCTAAATTTAATCTCCAGCATAGAAAAGAAAGAAAGAGAAGAAAGAAAAACCTTTGATTTCTCGATATATTGGCTACAGGAGGGCTTCCAGCAGCAATTTGGACTAGAAGCTTCCTCTTTCAGGTTGAGTCCCTAACAATTTGTTCTAAGTTTCGAAGACCTGTTGTCTTGAGAATGGGTTGAAAATGTGGGCATGTTCTTAGGTCAATTAGATTCTGTCCCTAGCCCTGGACTGAGCTCAATCATACCTCATGCTGGCAACTTCACACTGAGAACTGGGAGAAAGGGACCCAAGTGCACTGGAGCAAGCTCTCAGCAGTTAGTGAAAATTAAGCTCAAGCCCTCCTTCTCTGAGTCTCTGACTTCACACTGGTCACTCTAAGTCAACAACAGCAGTAGTGTTTATACCGCAGAGACTGGCATTGGTTTGTTTGTTTGTTTGCTTTATTTGTTTTTAGAACTGGTTCACTGATAACATAATGGGAGGCATGCTGTAATGTGTGTTAACAGGTAATAGTCTCTCAATTAGTTTTCCTAAATTCGGTCTTCTTCTCATCAATGTACTCATTGGTTTAAACAACACTTCTACTGAGATACAATTCACATATCACAGAATTCACCATTTTAAGTGTTTAGCTTGTTTTGCTTAGAATAATATTTTTATCCATGTTACATATATCAGTATTTTATTTCTCTTGGTAACAGATAATATTTCCCCGAATGTACAGACCACATCTTTATTCACTCATCAAACAATGACGTGCGTTTCTGAGACCCAATTCTAATCACAGTTCTTGAATCCAGTCTTTTCCATTTCTAGTCTTTAACACTTATGCTGTCAGAATCACCCTCCTTTTTTGATGTTCTGACTTGTCACTCACCTTATGAAAACATATCCTCCCCTTTCCCTATGAGATGCTAAAGGAACACATTGACCTTGCATCTGACACGTTCTTCAGTTTGACTCTAGGAAGGAAAAATAATGAGAAGATTCTGCCTCCCGTTGAGGAGATAGTTTGGGTCAATAATACTAAACTCCATTTAAAGTGCCTGTCCTGACTGATGATGGGTCATCCATCTTTCCATCCAACCATCTTTCCATTCAACTAACCAACTAAACAACAGAAAAGCTCCCACCCAAAATAGTACCCAAAGACAAAAGCAAAAGTTCAAGCTATGTAGAATAAAGACATGAGTATTATATGGCTTTATGATATCGTAGTTTGTATTTCTTTTCATTGTGTAATCATTAAAGGCCTCTAGAGGGATACTAGATCTTAATGTTAGACAGACCTAGTTTGTAGACCAGCCTTGGTCACTTAGCATTGGCTTCCTTTACGTCCCCTCCTCAGGTTTTAGGCAAACTGCCTTTACTTCTGGTAAAGTCAAAGTAATAATTCATACCTCAGAATCCAGTTATGAGCTAAAAGATGTCAGCATTCAAGTATCGTGCTCAACCCATAATAGTCATTGAACAGATAAGTGGACACTATGGTTGAACATATGGTTTAAGAAATCAATTATTTAAAAGACAGCAGTCTCAGATTAAAGCTGCTTTGGCAGTCTTTTGTTGTTTTACAGCTTTTATGATTTAATTTTGATCTTATTCTGGTGCCTTAAAATTAGAACCAATTTAAAGCAGAAATTACTTATATGTAATCAGTTAAAAGATTTGATGTTCCAGATCTGCTCTCCCTGCCAATGTAGTCTGAAAGAATCAATATTTCCTTGGTAAGTGGTCAATGACACTGTCTCATTTTATTACTATGATGCTTTTACGAAGTGGCCTAAAAATAAACATCTTAAACTCTATTGGGTTGTTCTGAGGTTAGAGTTCTCATAGGAATGAATTTTGGAGCTTGGCATTTACCATTTCTATGGGAAGTATGACTTAATAATAATTACTATAGATGTAACCCAAGATAAATGTTAATAACAACATCAGCAAAAGGTGCCGAACAGTAGTTAATTCTGATTATTTTGGTCCTATTTAGGCTATCATAACATTTGAAATGGGCTTTATGTTTGTATCGAACTTAGAAAAAAATTCAACTGTGTAATAATTTACTTTTTAGTCTTATAATTCAAACAACCACAGGCAAGTTTCTTCTTTCAGGGCCTGGAGTACTTGTAAATGCACAGTTGCTTTTCTTTTCATTGAGGCATTTGGTGAAATCAAATTGATTCATTGTTGAAAATTTACCTTTAATCCTAAGAACCAACTTTGGGGGCTTGCTCTTTCATACATACTCTAGTCACTGAATTCCATACCTTTTTTCTCCCTTCAGGTTTATCCCCATCCAGAGGAGTACTCCATAGTCCACAGGAAGTGTCGTTCTCAGTTCACAGATCTAGATGGCTCCAAAAGATTTGGCATCAACACCTGGCAGGACGAGAGTGGGATTTATGCTAATTCAGATTCCAAACAAAAGCTCTACTCACTGGCTGGGAATCCTATCGTCCCCCTCTAGATAATGCATGAAATCAGATTCTTTGGCTCATGAAAAATTAACCAGTGTAACAGTTAATATTTCCTGTCTTAATAAAAGAAGAGGAAGTCAGTTCCTTTCAACACAAAAATCTCACAATCTAAGTAAATGTTTATATTCTTATTTTTATAAGCTACTCTAATATTTTCCCCAGTTTAGCATATGTACCATTAAGGTAGGCCATGGAATTCTAGAAGGATTTATGGCTGCTTTCTTTTGTTTTATGAATTATGCATTTCTTTTATTGTTACAAAAAAAATGGTAAAAGGTAGTCCAGTCCAGCTGATGATTGCTTCACAAGTAGCTATTT